ACACACAGAGGGGACACAGGTGCTCCTGCTGAGGTGTTGCCTCCACTTCTGGAGTGATGCTAGCACTGGGCTCCTCGGAGAGGAGGGGAGCTGGAGGAAGAAAGCAGTTCCACTGGCTCAGCTCTGAGTTTTTCTCTGTCACACAAAACCAACATGACATGAGAGCAGGCGCGAAGCTGGAGGTGACACTGAAGGCGTTGAGCAGGGCCACCATCCGGGTGGGAAATGCTGACTGGGGGAGACAGAACCTTACAGACTTTGAGGTGTGCATTGACACGTGCTCCTGCTCCATTCTCCCGCTGCTGATGTTTCCTTGAGAAACTGAATAGAGATTTAACTTATGTAATATTTGATAACTGCTCACCTGCCTGCCTGCCTGATTGCCCCTAACCACCTTTGCCTGCTGGCCTGGTCGCCCCCAACTGCCCCCCTGCCAGCCTGGTTGCCCCATGCAGCCTGCTGTTCAGTCCTTTGGTCACCCCTCACTATCGCCCCTGCCGGCCTGGTCGCCCCAGTCAGCCTGCTTATTGTTGCTATTATTGTGACAGCATCCCAGACAATTTGCATATTCCTCTATTATTGGTATAGATTGTTGTTCATTTTCATTTTTCTTAATTTTATTTTATTGTTTAAAGTATTACAAATAGTAGTACGTATGACTCCTTTTTTTCCCCATTGACTTTCCCCCGGCCTCCCCTACCCCATGGCACAGGCCGTCATCCCCACCCCTCACCCCCCTTAACTTATTTTAAATTAGTTTGTTACTATAAGGTTGGGTTTCTTCTACTGTGTTGGTGTCTGTCATGAGGGGTCAATAGGGGCCTGGGATTTATTCAGAATATAGAAAGGCAGGAAGTTGTGGTGGAAACCAGCATATTAGAATATAAATGTTCAGAAATGTAGCAGTTCTAGGTGATGATGAAGTCCTGGGTTTGGCCAGGATGGAGTGGAGATGCAAGTTCTTGGAAACAGGATGTAGGGCAGTTGTTGGAAGGTGGCAGGTAGAGAGGGAGGATCAAAGGTGAAAGGCAGTTTTATAGGAACAGAGCACCACGGAGGAGCAATTATCTAAGTCCATCCTTTCCACCACACAGGGAGCTCCTTAAAAACCAGGGCTTTGCCCTGGCTGGTTTCGCTCAATGGATAGAGTGTCAGCCTTTGTACTGAAGGGTCCCAGGTTTGATTCCGGTCAAGGGCACATTCCTGGGTTTTGGGCTTGATCCCCAGTAGGGGGTGTGCAGGAGGCAGTCAATCAATGATCCTCTCTCATCATTGATGTTTCTATCTCTCCTTCCCTCTCTCTTCCTCTCTGAAATCAATAAAAATACATTAAAAAACAAACAAACCAGGGCTTTGTCCTAACAGGTGTGGCCCAGTGGATAGAGACTCGGCCTGCAGACTGAAGGGTCCAGGGTTCCATTCTGAGCAAGGGCACATGCCTGGGTTGTGGGCTCGATCCCCAGGAGGGTGTGTACAGGAGGCAGCCGATCAATGATTTTCTCTCATCATTGATGTTTCTCTCTCTCCTTCTCTCCTCTCTAAAATCAATCCTATCTAATAAAAGAGAAACATGGTAATTGGCGTACAACCGCTACCCTTCCCATTGGCTAATCAGGGCAATATGCAAATTAACTGCCAGTCAAGATGGCGGCCGGCAGCCATCTTCAACTTGAAACTAACATGGGGCTTGCTTGCTTCAGTAATGGAGGACTCCAACGTTCCCTGCCTGCCAGTGCAGGCCTCTGAGCTGCAACTCTAAGCAACTATGTTACAAATATAGAAGCTAAACAAAACCCCAGAAACCTGCTTTAGTAGCCGGGATTCAGCCAGCAGGATCGCAACATTGTAAACAAAGCTGAAAACAGCCCTCAGCCCCTCACCCAGACTGGCCAGGCAACCCAGTGGGGACCCCCACCCTGAAGGGTGTGTGACCAGCTGCAAATAGCCATCATCCCCTCATCCAGGCTAGGCAGGCACCACAGTGGGGACCCCCACCCTGATCCAGGACACCCTTCAGGGCAAACCAGCCTGCCCCCACACATGCACCAGGCCTCTACCCTATATAGTAAAAGGGTAATATGCCTCCCAGCACCGGGATCAGCAGAGCCGCAAGGCCTCCCAGCACCGGGATCAGCATGACAGGGGGCAGCGCCCAAACCCCCTGATCGCCCTGCGGCTCTGTGTGTGACAGGTGTGCCCCTCCCACCCCCCACGGGCCCTGCTGTGTGTGACGGGGTAGAGCCACAGCCTCCCCATCGGCCCTGCCCTGAGTGTGAGAGTGGCAGCGCCCCAACCCCCTGATTGGCCCTGCTCTGTGTGTGACAGGGGGTGGTGCCCCAACCCCCAAATCGGCCCTAGCCTGAGCGTGACTGAGGGTGGCATCACAATCTCCCGATCTCCCGATCGCCCTGCTCTGTGCATGACAGGGGGCGGCGCCCCAACTCCCCAATCGGCTCTGCTCTGAGCCCGACCAGGGGCTGCACCTAGGGATTGGGCCTGCCCTCTGCCACCGGGGAGCAGGCCTAAGCCAGCAGGTCGTTATCTCCCGAGGGGTCCCAGACTGTGAGAGGGCACAGGCCGGGCTGAGGGACCCCTCCTGCCCCCCGAGTGCACAAATTTTTGTGCACCGGGCCTCTAGTAAAAATATATTTAAAAAACATAAAGCAAAGTGAAGGAAAGGCGGTGCTGTATCTCCAAGACCTATTTCAGATTTAAAAAGAAACAGCCCCCCCCAAAAAAACCCAGAAATAAATGATAAAGATTTATCTAAGGGTATAGTATTAGCGTTTGCAAAGTAGAAACAATACCCAAAATGTTCCAAAGAAGAAAGAAAAGTTCAGAGTTCTTATAGCAAAAAGTACACTCTTGAGAAGAATCAGCCCTGTGCTCAGCCTCTGCACTGGCCCGGATGGCAATCCTCTGCATGACCAGAGTTTGGAATTATGGGGGCAGGTAGCTTGGATAGGCAAACATGAACATTCTTTCTTTAGTCCTTCTGCGGATAATCAGAGGGTGACCTGCAGGTTTGATGTATAAACGGGCATTTTTGAAGGACTGGAAATTCAGACACAGTCTAGTTAGAACAAGGGTAGAATCATTTCCTCATGTCTCCGTCTACCTGACTAGTAATTTAGTACCTCTTCCCTAATAACACCTTATGTTGCATAAGCTTCATCTCACTTAATTTTCTACAGGAACCTCCTAAATGGTGTCTCTGCTTCCAATTAATGCTCCACCAGAGCAAGCTTGCTAAAGTTCTGACCCTTGGGCTGCCTGTTCACAGCACTACAATGCCTTCCTCTTGCCCTCAGGACAAAGCCCAGCTCCTTGAAGGTGGTTTATGGAGTTTTTCATGATCTAGTATCTATTTACCCAGCCAGTTCCATATCTCACTATTCTCTTCACTCTGTTGTCCAGCTTGACTGATCCATGTTTAATTTCCCCAATTCCTTAATTTCTCCCTCATTTCCAGGCTTTGCCCTTACAAAGGTTTGCCCTTACAGAGGTTTCCTCTGCCTCGAAGACTATTCATCTGTTAGAAGATAATTTTCAGAAAAAGGTAAAATTATGACTCACACACAGTTAAAGAAAAACTTATTCTGACACTTATTAAAATAGTAAAGAAGACTTTGTTTGGGATTATTGCAATAGATGTCAAGACGATCCCAATATGAGAGAGATTGGGCTCAACTCTGAATATAGTACGGACAGTGGATATGACTAGCCAATGAGCAGAACCAGAGGGCCAGCGGATAGGAAATGACATTGAGGGTAGGGAGAATCTTGCTAAACAGACATAAGATTTTTGCTAAAGGCAGGCCAGGCTGATCGATATTAATGTTGGAGGATTCTTGGAAAGTGGCTAGAGGGCCGAGGTGAGGACTGTTTGGAAAGACAGTTCAGACAAGCGGGGGACCGAGCCTGTCTAAAGTTTGGTCACGTTCTTGTCAGTACACATATAAAAAGAACACGTGTTAAAGGTTTTATTAAGTCAGAGAGGACTAGGAAGATGTTACAACTGGTTCAAAAGGAAATCTACACAGCAGACTCATTTACAGGTCAGGTATACAGAATGCATATGAGAATGAAGGCAAAAACTGCTTTTTTCTGCAACGTGGGCAGTCCTGGGTTATTTGAGCCTCCAGCAGAGAGGGCAGCATTTGCCTGTCGATCAGATCAGTTGCGCACAGGGTTGTAAAAATGGTTCCAGGAAACAGTCTTCTGGGCAGATGGATGTGTGTGGACAATCCTCCGGTTCCCTTCGCCGTCACTTCTCCGGGGCAGCCCTTTGGCGCTCCGCTGGCCGCGATGAGCCGCGCCGGGCGGACACTGAGTCACTCGCGTCCTCAGTGTGAACCTCCGCTCCTCAGAATCAACGTGCGCAGGGGGTAGGGGAGGCCACCAAACACACTGCATCTAATGGAGCGACCATGTTACGCTAACATCGGAGAACATTTCACACCCTTCCGCCCGCACCGTTCCTTCTGTTATAACAGTTTCCATTCGAGGCCGGTGGCGGATATGGTGCGCCGGAGCATCTGCAACTCTGTACCCCAAGGAGGATCAATGTTGCTACTAAGTGGCACCAGGCAGCAGGGGCGCCGCTAACACACCCCGCAGGGCTCGGCCTCCGGGTCAGTCACAGGCCTGAGCCGAGAAAGGCTGGCCTGGCTGCCGGTTTCCAAGGCTGAGGAGCGGGGAACGGAACGCCATG